AAAAGATAATAGTGGTTGTTTAATTAAACTAAGTAAAATACTATAAAAATGCATAAATGAAATTCAACAGATAAATACTGTAATAACATATGTTGTGGCAAAGAAATGCTTTAGCATAGAATGTGAATGAGAGGTTAACAGATATGGGGAAACGGGGGGAGATTCAACATACTTTCACCAATTATCAACCTACCCTCTAATTCACTAACATCTATTAGTGCCCAGCTCGACTCGGTTCCCTTCCAAGACACCACAAACATGAGTAAGTACAACTTTCGTTGCTAAATACCCAAGCAATAAATACAAGCTATAGGCATGATTAGCGGACCCGATTCCTGAGTATCTCTAAAGCTATAGAAAAGTGCTAATCACAAATAAAGCAAGTCAGCACCCATAAGCCCTCCCGGGTCAATACAGAAGCTAGCAAACACGACATAGCGGCCAACAATATCACGCAAGATTGAAGAAAACAAACAACTTTATTTAAAAATAGATGTAGCAGCTAGAGGTTCAGTATCAAGTTAGTTACAACATGTAAATCTCCCCAAAATGGAGTGTAATTCATGGGAAAAAGGGAAAATGAAATGGGTAGAGCAAGATACAACCCATTCTAGAGAAACAGAGAAAAATGCAGATGGAGACCACCAGCACGCAATGGCAGCAGCAGCTCTTCCCTGTCATATGCTCTTCCACGAAATGGGTCTGCTCTCCTCGACTTCAGCACCATTTTTGGAGTATTTTCTCTCTTGGGATCAATTCCCCCCTTGGGGATTGATGGGGAGACAATCCTTATTTTGTTGCTTTTATAGCATCCTCGAAAATTAGGGCAAAATTCAGTAAAACACGCGTTCTACGGACATAAGTGAAAATCCCGCGTGTTTCTACACTGCCTGGGAATTTCTGCAGCAAGTGATACTCCAGCATTGACATGCTTTGGCACAACAATGCTCCGACATTTCTTCTCTAATTCTGGCATTCTACTGCTCCTCCGCAACTTCTCTAAATTCTACACAAATAAACCAAAAATAGGGGAAACAAGCAGAAATTTACAGAAATTCAGCAACTTGAGAATTTAGCATATGATAATTAACTTTTCCACTCAATTCCTCACTTTAGCATGCTTCTTAGATAAAGATCCTCACACTAATGCATGAATTAGCCCAATTATTTACTAAAATAACTCTATTTTGGAGAGTTATCAATGATACAAATTAAAAATGCTAAAGAAAAACTCAACAAATTAGCCCGATAAGTCATTCAATTTTATCAAATATAATAAAGGCTAAACCCTTTAAGTACACATTCTTTCATCTTCCTCTCACTCTTCGCATGCTCCACCTTCTTCTTCATGCAGACACCCCCTCCCTTTTGAAATTTAGTGTTTCCACTAACGCTCTCCTACGATACAATGTAATTCTCATTATGGATTCTTAAACAAAGACGAAAGACATTAACTAAAGGATACATTACAATAAATTACACTTTTTCCGATATCAAATATTAGGAAAACTTTTTCCAACAAAAAAAGCCTCAAGTTTTAGTGGGAATAAGTTTGGAAGAAAGAGAAAAAAGAACTCTTTATATAGATTCAGAAGATAAAGAATTACACAAATTTTAAAACTTCATTATTAATTATAATAGAAAATAACTCATAACTCTTTTTAATTAATTTATAGAAATAAAGACAAACTTTACCTATTCTAACTCTTTATATTCTTGCCTAAAATAATTCTATATTCAAATTTTTTACATTATTACATAATAAACATAACTATCCTTTTATTATTGTTACTCTAGTTAACTCATTATATTTTGATGATTCTGAGAAAACCCTGAAAATTTAACTCTTTAGTTTTTATTTTTTTAAAGGGAATTTAACTCTTCAGTCATTTAGTTATGAGCAATGTTTTAAATGTCGATCGATACGTCGACATGTTGACGTGTCGAAGTACTCGACATCGACATAGGGTGGAAAAGTCGTTTTTCTCCCTATGTCGACGATATATCAAAATATCGTCAAAATGTCACAAAAGTATCGACATTTCCACGATAGTTTTGAATATATCGTTTAAAAAATTACTCAGAGCCGAGCTCTTAAAATTGAGCCCAGCACCCAGCCCAACCCATTAAAGGCTATATTGATGACGATGTGGGAGGGGGAGGGGGATGGGGCTTTTATAAGAGGCGTTCCCCTCCACCCTTGTGAGAACCAAGGTTCGAAATGTCAAGGTCCCGATTTTATGGACATATCGATGGACAAGTCAATGTCGACGAATATTTAGGAAAAAATCATGGAAATTGTAAAAATGATCACTTTTAACAAGTAACATACTTATGTAAATGCTGACATTGATAGAAATATCGGAACAATATACTAAAGATTGATGAAAATAAGTTGAATTAGTAAATTGAAGTCTAATATTGCTTAATTATATTTTATTGATAATTTATAATCAAGTCTAGTATTTAGTTACATAATTGAAAAATATAGAAAATATTGATACATATACATACATATATATACATATGATAATTAAATTGAATTATTAGAAATTAGAGGATAGGTTTGGAAATTATGTAGTTAAATTTGAAAGGAAAATTAGTTAACTTAAATTAAAATAAAAAAAGAATTCAAATATTATTATTAAGAAATAATTTCGATATCATTGAGATGTGAGAATTTATATAGGTGGGAAAAATAACTTTTTTCAGTCTAATTTTTTCTCACTAATATTTTTCTCTCTTTTAAATTTTTATTTCTTTCTCTAACATGTGTTTTGCTCAAGTTTACTCTTTCTCTAAATTTTTCGTTGTCTTTAATTTTTCTCTCACCAAATTTTTTTTTCTCATTTTTTTATCCCTCTAAAATTTCTTCTTAGAAAACTTTTTGTCTTTCTAAACCTTTTATTTGCATATCTCTGCATTAGGATTGAAAAAAGATCCCATAGTGTCGTGTCTCCACTCAAAAAAACAAGGAATAATGCTTTTTGCATCATGTCCCGATACCGTCTATGATTCTATTTTTTAAATAATTAATATATAGTTTGTTGAGGGAGAAATCTGAGCAAGACACACGTCAAAATCCAGGAGATAGTGAGACACGGGTGTTCACACGAGATTTCCGAAGAAATTATATTACGTTGCCTAAATACAATTTCTATTCATATTTTGGGATTCGTACAATACAAAATATTTATCCTTTGATTTTTTTTCTTGAATTCTTGTTTTTTTAATCTTGATCGGCCTCTTGGCGGCTTGTTGATCTTGACCGGCTCTTGCCGCTTGTGGATATTGATTGGTCTGTTGGCGGCGTGTTGATCTTGATCGACCTCTTGGCGACGTGTTGACCTGTATCGTCCTCTTGATGGTGTGTTGATCTGGATCGGCCTCTTGACGTCTTGTTGATCT